CTTCTCTTTCATTTCTGATTTTACTTATTTGAATCTGCTTTTTTTTTTCCTGATAAATCTTACTAAAGTTTATCAGTTTTGTTTAAAGAATTAGCTCCTGGTTTCATTGATCTTTCCTATTGTTTACTTTTAGCTTCCATATCATTTTCACTCTAATCTTTATTTCCTTCTAATAACATTGGGCTTTTTCCTTTTTCTAATTCCTATAGGTGAAAGCTTAGATTAAGATCTTTCTTGTTTCTTGAAGTAGGCCTGTATTGCCATATGCTATCCTCTTTGGACTGCCTTTGCTGCATCCCAAACTGCCTTTGCTGCATCCCAAATGTTTTAGACCACCACATTTTCATTTTCATTTGCTTCCATGTACTTAAAATATATATATATATATATGTGTGTGTATATATATGTATACACATATATATATTTAACATTTATCCATTTTTGAGAGAGAGAGGGTGAGCAGGGGAGGGCAGAAAGCAAGGGAGACCCAGAATCTGAAGCACGCTCTTCAGGCTCTGAGCTGTCAGCACAGAGCCCAACACTGAGCTCAAACCCACGAACTGTGAGATCATGACCTGAGCTGAAGTCGGATACTCAACCAACTAGAGCCACCTAGGCACCCCATGTTTCCATGTACTTTTTAAATTTCTTCTCTAATTTCCTGGTTTACCAATCATTCTTTAGTAGGATGTTCTTTCATCTCCATGTATTTGAAGGCTTTCCAAATTTTTTCTGGTGGTTGACTTCAAATTTCAGTGTTGTGATCTGAAAATATGTATGATATGATCTCGATCTTTTTATACCTGTTGAGGGCTCATTTGTGACCCAATATTTGATCTGTTCTGGAGGGTGTTCCATGTGGCATCAAAAAGAATGTCTGTTATGCTGCTTTAGGAGAAATGCTTAATACATGTGTTAAGTCCATCTGGGCCAGTGTGTCATTGAAAGCTGTTATGTCCTTGTTGATTTTTTTGCTTAGATGGTCTGTCTGTTGCTCTAACTGGGATACTGGGATGTTAAAGTCCCCTACTATTGCAGTGTTATCAACACTGAGAACACCGAGTTTCTTTATGTTTGTAATTAATTGATATATATATATCAATTATATATATATATATATATATATATATATTTGGTTCTTCCAAGTTGAGGGCATAAATTTTACAATTGTTAGATCTTCTTGATGGATAGACACCTTTTTTATGATATAGCAGCCTTTTTCATCTCTTGTTACAGTCTTTGATTTAAAATGTAGTTTGTTGATATAAGTAAGTATGGCTAGTCCAGCTTTCTTTTGATGTCCATTAGCTGGCTCTTCATCCCCTCATTTTCAGTTGGCACGTGTCTTTAGGTCTAAAATGAGTCTCTTGTAGACAGCATAGTGATAGGTCATGTTTTGTTTTTTTTTTAATCTTTTCTAATATCCCATGTCTTTTGAATGGAGCATTTAGTTTATTTACATGCAGAGTGGTTACTGAAAGGTATGAATTTAATGCCATTGTGTTACCTGTAGTTGCTGTTTCTGATACTGATCTCTGGTCCTTTCGATCTTTGTTGCTTTTGGTCTTTTTTCCTCCCAAAGAGTCCCCTTTAATTTTTCTTGAGGTCTGGTTTAGTGGTCACAAACGCCCTCATATATTTGTTTGTCTGGGATAACCTTTCTCTCTCCTTCTGTTCTGAATGACAGCCTTGCTAGATAAAGTATTCTTGGCTGGATATTTTTCACATTCAGCATTGAATATATCCTGCAAGTCTCTTTAGCCTACTAAGTTTCTGTGGATAGATCTATGAATCTGGTCTGTCTTCTCTTGTAGGTTAAGACCTTTTTTTCCCTTGCTGCTTTCAGGATTCTTTCTTTGTCTATGTATTTTGTCTGTGTATTTTGGTCTTATGTGTATTTTCTATATATTTTGGTCCTGCAGATGGCTGTGGGTTTTTTGTTTTTGTTTTTGTTTTTTACTGAATTTAATGGGAGGTCTTGTGCTTCTTGGCTTTTGATGTGTATTGTCCTTCCCCATATGAAGGAAGTTTGCAGCTCTAATTCATTCAAATAAGTCTTTTCTTTTTCCCTCTCTTCTTCTGGGACTCCTATGATACAAATGTTACTATGCTTTAAGGAGTTGCTGAGTTCCCTAAGTCTACCATTGAGGTCCAGTACCGTTGTTTCCCTCTTATTTTTAGCTTCATTGTTCTCTATAATTCTATATTCTATATCACTGATTCATTCCTCTGCTTCATACATCCTTATTGTCATGTCATCCAGTCAGGATTGCATCTTAGTTATAGTATTTTTAATTTTAGCCTGAGTAGATTTTAGTTATTTTATCTCTGCAGTAAGGGATTCTCTGGTATCTTCTATGCTTTTTTCAAGCCCAGCTAGTTAGTGTCCTTAAATCGTTTTAAATTACTATTCAGACATCTTATGTATGTATTGACTGAATCCCTGCTCATGACTTTTTCCTGTTCTTTCTTTTGGAATGAATTCCTCTGTCTTGTCATTTTCTGTAGGTCACTGGTTTTTTGTGTGTGATTATTAGGAAAGCCTATTCTATTCCTGCTCCTGAGAGTAATGGCTATATTAAAAAGAGACCAACAAAAGGGGTATCCTGTATGCAGTTTGTTGTTGTATTTTGGTTGTTCCTACCCTCAGGTCAATCCTCTGTAGAGTGTCGCCTTGCTTACAGTAGGGGGTGTTTGGACATTGTCCACTGTGTGGTAGGTTTTTATCTAGGTGTGTAGGTGTGGTTGGGTCTGCTTGTAAAAGATGCAAGATCAAAAAAAAAAAAAAAAAATGAAGCTAGATCTTATTTCTCCTAAAGCTGAAGCTTTGAGGCACTCTGTCAGTAAGCTCTGTGCACAAGGGGATGCATTGGTCTTCCTGGAGTGAGACATGCTGTGCTGATTTTCAGGTGGTCTGGCCCCAGTGGAGATACTCCTGCAGGGCACAGTAGGGTGGAGCTTGGTGTAAGCAGCTTTGGTCTCCACTGGAGGAGGCTGTTTACCTCATTGAATTTGGTCAGTGCTGATGGGGGGAGATCAAGAAAGTAGTGTTGCCAGCTCTCTCCTCGTGGGAGCAAAGAGTTCGCCCCACCACTCCTCAAGAAGTCCTTGTAGAAGAGCAAAGAATTACCTCTCTTGTGTTCCCAGTTTCTGTCAGATCCCTGCCTTCCCCTGAGTCTGACTGTTTGCCTGCCAGCCGACATAGTACTCTTGTATTTTATCTCAGCCATGTGGCTGGGTTTCAAAACTCCACCAGATGGTCATTTTTCTTGTAGATGCAAAGTTTTATTCTCTCAGCCCTCTGATCAATTTCTTAAATGTTGAGAATGATTTGATATTTATCTACCTCTGTTCAAGGAATGAGGTAAACCTAGGGTCTCTGTACTCCTGTGCCATCCTCATCCTATAATTTTAGTTTTTAAGGCTATTTAATAACAGCCAGCTTATTTCCCAGTTGTGTAATACACCCTCTTTATAATTTTTTTTTAATGTTTTATTTATTTCTAGGAGAGAGAGAGAGAGCGTGAGCAGGGGAGGGTCAGAGAGAAAGGGAGTCACAGACTCTGAAAAAGGCTCCAGGCTCTGAGCTGACAATCAGCACACAGCCCGACGCGGGGCTCAAACCCACGAACCACGAGATCATGACCCAAGCGAAAGTCGAACGCTTAACCGACTAAGCCACCCAGGCGCCCCTCTTTGTAATTTTTTATGTGCTTAAAAGTTAACACTAACTGTCCAGTTAACACAAAGAAACACTTTCTAGGAATATAATTACCATGTCAAAGGATGTAAATGTCTTTATAGCTCTTATATGACATGGTATTACTTTTAGAAAGCACTACACTGTGCTTTTGTTTAGTACACATGTTTAAATTTTTTTCATTTACTTTGAAATTGTTACGTGTTTTAAGTGGAAACTTTTACTTTAGGTGGCAGAAATGTCAGTGAGAAGACTCAGGTTCAAGTTATATGTTTATTTCATCATCTGAAGAAAAATAATGGTACATATAATGGAACACTTTGTAGCCATTTGCCTTATTGATTAAAGATTAATATGACACCAAATATTTAGTATTTTATGGTACTTTCTATTTTAATAATAGTATAACTGTTAAACTTTCTTTAGGCTTCGGGAGCAGGAAAGAAAAGAAGCAGAAGAAGCTAGTCAAAAGGAAATGGAAGAATGGGAAAGAAAACTCCTAGCTCAAGCAGCTCCAACTTGTATGGAGACTATGTGGGAAATTCCAGCTATTGGTCATTTTCTTTGTTTAGCACAACAAATTCTAAATTTGCCAGAAATAGTCTTTTATGAATTGGAACGTTGTCTTCTAATGCCTCAGTGTAATGCTTTTCTTTCTAAAATAATGACTTCTCTATTAAGTCCTCCTCATCGCAGACCTACCTTACATCGAAGACCTACTTTGCCTTATAGGACCTGGGAAGCAGCACTGAGACAGAAAGTACAGCAGTGGTATACTGCTGTAGGACAGACTGAAAATCCTGATAACTGTGCTGAAAAGCTTGGGTTATGTCCTCAGTTTTTTAAAGTTCTTGGAGAAGTTAATCCATTGGAAGAAAAACCTTTTCATGAACTACCTTTTTACCAAAAAGTATGGTTACTTAAGGGTCTTTGTGACTTTGTGTATGAAACACAAAAAGAAGTTCAAGATGCTGTACTTGGACAACCTATTCATGAATGCAGGGAGGTTATCCTGGGTTATGATTATTTGGAGAATGCTTATGTGCATTTTCCACAGTTCTGTGGTGCAGATGTACGGATTTATAAACAGAGACCTTTTCAGGCCCCAGAATTTCCAGTTCCACCTATCAAAATACAAAGAGTACCTCGGATCAAACTGGAGAAATTGAAGTGTGACTATGTTAGTACAAGTAATGGAGAACATAGGTGTAGTATAGGCCTCTCCTCTGCCTTCAGGAAAGAGCAGGAAACTAATTTTGATACAAGTTGGGGGTCTACTAAAATGAACCTGGATAATCATGACATCTCTGTTGAAATGGAAGTGAAATCCAGCTGTGAAATTAGAATTTGCAGGCCCTGTGAAATTAAAAAAAATGATTGTTATAAAGAAAATTTAGAGGAACCAGGGAGTCCAGGGGAAGTTACTGGCTTTGGAGAGCCTCTTAGTCCAGGTGAAATAAGGTTTATAGAAAATCAAGAAAAATATGGTGAAGCTTCCAGAGTAAAGCCTGAGCCCAGTCCATTAAAAGAAAATGCTCTAAAATCTTGCCAAATGCACGTAAATGGAAGTCACAGTGATCATCCAGAAATTAACTGCCACAAAGTTGTAAGAGACATTCTATTAGAGCAGTCTCTACAGAGTCACAAAAGAATCAAACTAACTAAAATGAGGGCAAAAAAGAAGAAAAAGAAAAAAAAGAAATTGAAAGATGTTTTAAATGAAAACTTACAGAGAAAGCGTGAAAGTCTTCATTCTCTTGCATTCAAATCTTACAAACCTGAGATCCAGAATAAGTTATTGATCATCAAAAAGAAAGCAAAACACAAGAAGCACAAATCTGGTAAGCTAACACAAATGGTTGAGAATTACATTTAAGCATACTTCATGTTCTTCCAATTAAGCATCATGGAAGGCACAGATTAACAGAATAAAAAGTGTGTGTGTGTGTGTGTGTGTGTGTGTGTCTGTGTGTCTGTGTGTCTGTGTTTAAGGGATCAAGTTTTATATTCTTCTACTGATTAAAACCCAGAGCAAAAGAGGTTTTATATACTCACAGAAAAAATACTGGCACGGTATATTTTAATTTTCAGTTGAAGATCTTTGGATGTAATGTTTTTACATTTCTCTGGACCAAATTCTCCATAAGGAATGCTCCCCATCATTTTTGAGAATGTTTTCCCCTCAGGCTAAGAGTGGTACAACAATGAAAAAAGCACTGATATCAGGAGATATCATTCCCAGTACTATATAAAGTACATAGCAACTTAAACCACGGCAAGTCTAGGTGTCAGTTTTTTCCCACATCATATATTTTTTAGCACTCTGTTTTCAGTATATATTTTCATAAAATGTTATGAAATACAAGGAAAAACACTGCATCAACTAATAGGACATGAAGCATATTTGTAAGAGGATTTGCACATTTGTCTTACATCAAATTTGAATATCCCATGTATTTGTTGCAAGTCTATTTAAAGAATAACAAAAAGTTGTATAAATAAAGTCTTCAGTGATTGGTTGCACTATCTTTTCATTACTCAGGTGTTTTTGCTTTTCCTGTTGTTTGTCTTTCAATCAGTTTCCATGTCTTGTTTGTCAAGAAGATAGGTGAGATAAAAGCAGATGATGAACTCCATTTATTATAAAATTTGCCTGGTTAGGAAAAACTTGAATTGTTTACTATAATGAGTTGTGGTTTATTGTCATTATTTGTGGATTTCCATTTTTTATGTCTTCTCTCAGTAACAGATAATTAGGATTTGACAGTAATTTGATGACGAGTTGGTAAATTAGGGAGTGAAGTTTGTTTAGTTGATATAGTTGCTGTTATTTAAATAAATACAATTAAGTATATTTTAAAATGTGTATGTAATATGTCATTGATAAGGAAGCATAAAATTTACTGTTAAGAACAGGCTTAATTGTTGAACTGATAATTGCCAAGTTGAACCACTACATTGGCCCAGGTGATGAAAAACTATAATTTTTTGAAGTAACTTTCAGAAATAAAGCTTTTTAATTTTGTAATAATCCACTAGCTATATAAATTTAGTTTGATTGATATGGCAAATTTTCCTCTCAAAAATATTAACTAATAGTTTAAGTTGGAAATATTTTTCCAATGTTAAAGTATGTAATACTGTTTTATTAATACCATTGTCACCTAAAACCTTTTATTAAGTGTTTATTCATGTGTTCAAAGGTAATTATGACTTATGGGGGTAGATACTGATAGAGCTCCTATACAGACTATAACAATAGCAGAGTAAAAATATTAACTGCTAAGGATTAGATTAAAAGGAATTTATATTGTAAGTGATTCAAGTGTTGGTACATTTTTTAAATGGCAGTAAGAATATTTGTAGATCAGAGAGAAAATTTGTGGGAGTTTCATATCCAGTTGTGCAAGTGAATAAAAAAAAAAAAAAGAAAATTCAGCAAGTACTTAATGTACCATCTCTGAGCATGTTTAGGTGGGTAGAGACAGCTTACAGGGAAGAAAGTAATGCACTTGCCTATACACTTGTCTACATACTAATTTTATCTTCAGAGCAAATTTTGGAAAGTTAGTCTTCAGTAACAAAAATACTTGGATATGGAGAGAAAATACAGTTTCTCTCTCCATTGATAGTTCTGGGTAAGCATATGCCCACTCTTTTTTAATCAGGTGCGAAACTCCTTTCTGTTTTAAAGTGGTGCATAAAATGGTTTGGTTTTTTTTAACTTTTTTTTTTATTTCTAGGAGAGATAGAGAGAGAGACAGCATGAGCAGGGGAGGGTCAGAGAGAGAGGGAGATATAGACTCTGAAATAGGCTCCAGGCTCTGAGCTGGCAGTCAGCACAGACGCGGGGCTCGAACCCACGAACCGCGAGATCATGACCCAAGCGAAAGTCGGACGCTTAACCGACTAAGCCACCCAGGCGCCCCTAAAATGGTATTTTAAAATATTTTAAATTATTTTTAAATGTTTTATTTATTTCTGAGAGAGAGAGAGAGAGACAGCGTGAGCAGGGGAGGGTCAGAGGGAGAGGGACAGATTCTGAAACAGGCTCCAGGCTCTGAGCTAGCTGCCAGCACAGAGCCCAATGCAGGGCTCGAACCCACAAACTGAGATCATGACCTGAGCTGAAGAAAGACGCTTAACCAACTGAGCCACCTAGGCGCCCCTAAAGTTTTTTTTTTTTAAATTAAGTTTATTTATTTATCTTGAGAGAGAGGGACAGAGAGAATGAGCAGGGCTGGGGCAGAGAGAGGGAGAGAAAATCCCAAGCAGTCTCTGTGCTGTCAGTGTGGAGCCCAGTGTGGGGCTAGAACTCACTAACTGTGAGATCCTGACCTGGGCCAAAACCAATTAAGTCACCCAGGCGCCCCCTTTTTTAAAAATTTTTTAAATTAAATTAAGTTATTTATTTTGAGAGGGAGACAGAGTGAGCAGGGAAGGGATAGAGAGAGGGAGAGAGAGAATCCCAAGCAAGCTCTGTGCTGTCAGCATGGAGCCCCATGTAGGGCTCAAACTCACAAACCATGAGACTGTGACCAAGAGTAGGACACTTAACCGACTGAGCCACCGAGGCACCCCCATAAAATGTTATTATAATAGCAACAACAACAACAACAACAACATTTGTTTTATATCATTCTTCAGTACTCTTGTCTTCCTGACAAGAGTTTTGGGCATACTCGAATCCAGTGTTTTCTCTTTCACTATTTTTAAAAGTGAGCTCCATGTTTGGAAAATGTGGAAATGCTCTTCTTATAGATTCACATTGTGCATTAGTACAGGTCCATAATGCATTTTACAACACTTCTGTATCAGATATGTTGAAATTCAGAAATTATCAGATTGTAGGATATTATGATATATATGTTTATTAAATAACATCCCCAGTTGAGTTTGGGGTAGCTCCTGTAATCACACACATAGTTTTTACAGAACAATGTGTAAATAGATTAAATGAGATGAAAACTATAAAGAACCTCAGAACAGTTCATGTCAGGTTTTTCAACCATATAAATTAACTTTAAAAGGTTAGTTTTGAGAACATTTTGAACTTCAGAATTGTGGAAAAGTGATTGTGGGCCTTTAAGGACTCTGGGAAGTCTTCCCCTGGGAAGTCTTCCAGAAAAGAAAACTGTTGGGGCGCCTGGGTGGCTTAGTCGGTTAAGCGTCCGACTTTCGCTTAGGTCATGATCTCGCGGTTCGTGGGTTCGGGCCCCGCGTCGGGCTCTGTGCTGACTGCCAGCTCAGAGCCTGGAGCCTGTTTCAGTCTGTGACTCCTTCTCTCTCTGACCCTCCCCTGCTCACGCTGTCTCTCTCTCTCTCTCCTAGAAATAAATAAAACATTAAAAAAAAAAAACTGTTAAAAAAGAAAAGAAAACTGTTTAGTTTTGTTTAACCTAGTATTTTTTAAGTTTACTTGAACATGGAATTTTTTTTTCAAGTAATAGCATTCTGTAGAATATGTATTGGGATAAAGTGTGTCATCCATGAGCCTTCACTTAGGATAAATTGTACATGTGGCTAATGTGGTCCATTTTATGTTGATTACTACAGGCTTTAATTTTTGAAAGACTTATCTAATTTTTAGTAGAAGCTGCAAAGACAAATTGGTTGAGAATGATTTTATATTTTTAGAGCACTGTGGGACAGTTCTTCAACTTTTAAGCATTTTTATCTAATTTTAGAAATGGAGTTTCCTTTCTGCTTTTTAATTAAATTTATTTTTAGTTATTTAAGCCTCTTCCTTACTCTTAGAAACATTATAGAAGAGAAAAACATTGAAATGCCCCCTATTGTGCATGCTTATAGCATCAGATACTTCTCCTTTATAATACTTACAAATTTTATTTATAGTGGTTGCATTTATTTCTTTCTAGATTATTTTGATGATTGTCTCCCATTCTTGGGGACAGAAGGTTAGCATAGTGACCAACACGTTGTGTAGGATTCTATTGGATACAGAAATGAACACACATAATATGGTTTACTCAGCTATAAATAAGATTAGCCCCTTAAAATGTATCTTTTATATCCTTTTCAAGACTTAGATATTTTTGAATAGCACTGGTACTATACATACCATTTTACAATCTGTTTTTTCCCACATATCAGTGTGCCATGAACTTCTGTGTGATAAGTAGATTTTTGCACCATGATTTTAATGACTGTATAGGATTCTGTTATGTGTATTTTGCAGCTATTTAACCAGCCTCCTTATTGGACATTTTGGTTGTTTTCAATAGTATTCTATTACAGATTTTATGGAGTAGAGTTGGCTGAAATAAAATAGATTTTAAAAATCAGAGGACTTTTTATAAAACCTGAAAAAACTGGCAAAAATTATTAAAGATGCATTAATTGTTACAAAAAGCTTATGGTGTCTTAGGTTATTCATTTCAGCCAATTTGGTTTGGAAGTTTTTTCCCTCTTCTCACATGTTCATTATTTTCAACAAAATTGTTTTGTGTTAGATCCTCTAAACTGATTAAAATAAATAAGTGGTATTATTCTTTTATAAGTGAATAAACTGAAGCTCAAGGTGGTAAACAATTCATTTTAATAATTAAGTATATAATAAAGAGAGTAAAAGGTCAAGTGGAGGGTAAATCAGTCAGTGTTTGCTAGTTATCTTGGAAGGTTTTGCAGAGGATAAAGGACTTTGAAGAATAATGGGGATTAGATAGATGGACATTGGTTAGTAATGTGAACAAAAGCATGAGGGTATAATTAAGCTGGTGTCACTGAAAAGTACACCAAGAAAAAATAAGGAAACAGTTGAAAAGTTGAGGTTTTAGAAGCTATTTGAATGATGAGACTATGCCAGTTATGGGTGATCTCTTTCTGGACAGGTGGTGCTGTTTTTTAACTAATTGCATTAGGTGTCCAATGCAAGGAAATGAGCTTAAAATAAGAGATAATAAGTAAAAAGCAATAAGCTCCTTTATAGGGAATAACTGAAAAAGCAGTGTAGTATACAATATTTGATCACATCCAGACCCATTATTGTGAAAAAGTTTTACAGGGTTTTTTTGTTGTTGTTTTTCTTGAAAACACTATAGAACCTAACTATGTGTGTCTGTATGGGGAAATTTTTAGAGGATCAACTCAAGAT